GCCACCCACGGGAGCAGGTGGACTCCGCAGCCGGAGTCCCCAGCCCTGCCTGCCAGAGTCCCGGCTCTGTGGGACGCTGACGGTGCCCTTGCCCTCTCTCCCAGGATGGGCGGGATCCGCTGTGAACGGCCGCGGGAGCGGCTAACACTGCACGTGGCATCATTGATATCCTGCAGTCCTACAGGTGGTGCAGTCTGCAGTCCCGCAGGGTGCCGGGTCATGATCCTACAGGTGGACGCCCGGGTCTGCCAGCCCCACGGGTGGGTCGGTGCCCCCAGGACACCCATGCACAGAGCACTTGCCTGTGAAACAGCTGCACCAGCAGCTCTAAGGCTTCCTCAACCTTCTGGAAAGCTCTTGCTTGGCTGCCCCTTCTTGAGCCCTAAAGGAAGGTGTCTGGTTACCTTGAAAATCCAGAGTGAGTTGGGCGTAGTGGTCCACACGTGTAATCTAGCGCTGTGGGAGGCTGAGGCGGGAGGATCGCTTGAGCCCAGGAGTTTCCCCAGAGACCAGCCATAAGGCAACATAGCAAGACCCGTCTCACAGAAATATCAAAAAAATTAACTGGGCTTGGTCGTACTCCTGCAGTCCCAGCTACTCGGAGGCCAAGGCAGGAGGATTCCTTAGGCCCAGGAGTTTCAGGCCTGCAGCAGTGAGCTATGATGGCTGCACTGCACTCCAGGCCACAGGTGACAGAGCAAGACCTGTCTCAAAAAAAAGAAAAAAGAAAATCTAGGGAGTGGGTTTTGGGAGGCTCCTTCCAGAGGCTCGAATATTTTGTTTTGGTTTTGTTGTTTGTTTTGAGACAAAGTCTCGCTCTGTCACTCAGGCTGAAGAGCAGTGGTGCGATCTTGGCTCACTGCAGCTTCCGCCTTCTGAGTCGACCCTATTCTCCCGCCTCAGCCTCCTGAGTAGCTGGGATTACCGGCACGTGCCACCATGCCTGGCTAATTTTTGTATTTTTAGTAGAGACGGGGTTTCACCATGTTGGCCAGGCTGGTCTCGAACTCCTGACCTCAGGTGATCCACCTACCTTGGCCTCCCAAAGTGCTGGGCTTACAGGTGTGAGCTACCGTGCTTGGCTGGGGCTCTAGAATGTTGAAAGACAGGGTCACCCTCTTGGTACTATGGACATTGGGACCAGGTGGTTCTCTGGAGTGGGGCCGTCCTGGGCACTGCAGGGTACTAAGCAGAGAGCCTCCACCCACTGCCTGCCAGGAGCGCCTGCCACCCTGAGTTTGGCAGCCACGATTGCTCAAGGCCATGGCCCAGTGTCCTCGGGGAACACAGTGGCCTAGTGGCTGACCTGGCAAGGGGCTTGGCTGATGTCAGCTGCCACTCCGGGGCTCTCTCCACAGGTTCATCAAGAAGCTGGAGCACACCTGGAAGGCCCTGCGTCCGCAGCTGATGGGGTGGCGCCTGCACCTCACCCATCCTTCCTCTGTCCTCCTGTCTGCTTCGTCTGGCCTTCCTCCATCCATCCTCCGCCAACGCAGACTACCTCCTGGGCCGAGCATTAGGACTAACTAACAGCCTGCCGGAGCCCAAGATCCCAACAGGCACCCCCATTTTCAAGAGTGTGTAGAAGGTCAGGCAGGAGCTTCCCACAGCAAGCATTGAGCGTGTCAGGGTGGCGGCCAGCAGAGGCCTCTGGAGATATCTTAGACCTTGTCAAGGCCAGAACACGCCTAGGGCAGACAGGAGTGCTGTCTTGCTCTGTGAACCCGACCAGGGTGTCCTGTGCTGCCGCCCTACATCGCTGGGGTTGTCCTTGTCCCCTGGCCCACAGTGGCCGGGCACACTCCTCCCACTGCAGCCTTCGAGGTGGAATTCATTCCTGATCTCTGGTACGTGGCCACTCCTCACCCAAGGAGGCTGGGAAAGGAAGACTTCTCATTCTGGGAGGCCAAGGGTCACATCCTGGCAGGGCCCCAGCCAGACCATCCTGCCTCAACCTCCTACGAGTCCATGTGGGCCACTGCGCCTGGCCGAATACTTTATTCATAGCTGGTTGGAAAAGTCAAAATACGAATAAGTCTCTAGTGGGCGCTTCCACCACATTCCTGGCACCCAGTCTCCCTCCCCAGAGGAGCCACTTATTCCTGTTCCGTGAGCCCCTCCCAGGAAGCCACAGCAACATGGAGCCATCTCGAGCCTTTTGACACAGAAGGTGCCCCCCGCACACATACAGCGTCTGTCCAGGGCTGTCTCCAGCTGTTGGTTGATGCGCCCTCCTGCAGGCACCCCAACTCTCTTCCAGGACACGGTGTCTGTCCACATGCCCAGCTTCTATGCCGGCCCGGTTTTCAAGTTCACTAGGCAACACAGTCTTTGGGAAGAACTCTGTAAGCCACCTGAGCCCTGCCCGGGTGGGAGAGGACCCCTGGGAGGCCGAGAGCCCGTGGGGCGGAGAAACTCTGGGGAAACAGTAAACCCAGAGCCCCTGTGTCTCCCTCAGACCGGGCCTCATCCAGAGGCAGGATAGTCAGGACATTTGCTCTGCACAGGAGCCACCGCCGGAGCCTGAATCCTGAATCCTGAATCCTGGCTGGGCTCGTCTGCCCTTGTGGCCTTGAACAGGCACTTCCCTCTGTGCCTCGGTTTCCCCATTGGCACAACACTGTGAGCCACAGTGTTATATGGGATGGGCGGGCCTGGCCCAGCAGGCAGCTCGATGTGTGGGGCTCCAGCAGCATCACCATCACCATGGAAGCACATCCCGGGCAGGGAGCAGGAGGCCGGCCTGTAGGCGTGGCAGGAGATCCCAGAGCAAACAATGGTGGGGAAGGTGGGGACTCAGGGTTCACCACAGAATTGCCAGAGGGAGGTCCCCATTTCTCAGGCTCAACTTCCCCTCATGGGCCACTGTAGCATCTGGGCGCAGACTCAGGGTTCCAGGCCCCGTGCAGACATCAGCCTGTGGCCCACCTGCTGCCAGACGGGTTCCTCCTGGTCTGTTTCTCAGCCACCCTCCCCACTAAAAAGCTCAGACTGCAACATCCTGCACAGGCCTGGCACACAGAGGTGCTTGCAGGAAGTGTCTGAGGTGGGCATGAATGATCTGAGGTCCGCACAGGGGTGCTCTGGGAGACAGCAAGGGACCAAACCGCGAAGTACCCAGCACTTGCAGTCAGGCTGCTCTTCCCGCCTGCACACCTGCTCCCGGCCCCAAGGCCGAGACTCCCTCTCATTGACACCATGGGATTGGCAGACACCATGCATCGGGATCTGTCTCCAGAGAGCTGGCTGTCAAGCCTGTCCCCGCACTCCACCCTCTGGGACTGATGCCACAGGATCATTCCCAGTCATCCAGGGCTGTTTGCCCGCCTTTGTAGCTGTGAAGCTGCACAAGGCAAACTGAGCACCTGCTGTTTACCAGGAGCTGTGTGGGTCATTCTGGGGGCAGAGGTCACAAGGGCTTGGTGAGAGGCAGAGCTCACTGGCCTGAGGACAGGCCCGAGGCTGTGTGGGCATCACCTGCTGCACCACACCCCACTGCTAAGGTCGGCGAGGCCCAAGAGACTGAGCCACACAGCCAGCGGGCGAGGCCTGGATCTGGGCTCAGGCCCTGCATGCTGAACCATTGGCTTCTCTAGCCACAATGCACCTGGTGCTGTCTAAGACTGTCAGTATCCATCTGAAAATGGGGCCCTGCCGGGTGGGCACACAGCACATGGAAGGGGATCGCCTGCAGAGCATCACAATGAGTGGATAGACAGGAGTCACAGGTCTACAGGACCCGGGAGGGCAGGCACTGTGCCAGGGTCAGTGTGTCTCATAGAGACAGTCGGGTAGGCAGGACAGGCAACTCAGGCTCTCAGTCCCTCCCCGGGCAGAGCCCGGTTTTCCACCAAGAGGCTTTGCTGCTTCCCGGCCTCAAGGGGCGGGCAGGGAGCCTGGTGGGTCTCAGGGACACAGGTATATTCGGGCAGTCACCCTGTCTGGGCTTTGCTGAGCCCCAGCAACCCCAGCGCCAACACCCCACCCTCCTGCAGCCCCTGAAGTCCTCGCCCTCCAAGAGGCGCGGCGGAGCCCTGCTGGCTGTCTGAAACCCCTGGGGCCAACAGCTGCCTTCTCGGCCAGCCAGATCCCCAGCGGCGGGAGGAGCCCGATACGACCTGCGGGGCATGGCTACCCCACGCTGGAGACGGTGAGGGAGCAGAGGCAGAGTGCGCCTGTGGGGGCTCACGGGCATGTCAGCAGCAGCCCGAGCGGGTCAGGCGCACTCTCCTGATGCTCATCACTCAGTCTTCCCCTCGGACTGGGATCTGAAGAACCTCCTGCCCAGGGGCTGGGAGCTGGGATGGCCCCAGGAAGAGCCAGGGAAGCTGAGTGTGAAGGCACTCCACTGGGTGGGGTGGTGACAGCTCCCGCCTTCTCTCACGGTCACTGTTAATCTGAGGCGGACCAGGATGCCATCGAAGGCATACAGCCCCAGGCTACGCCTGATATCAGGAGGGCAGAGGGGACAGAATGGAAGGAATTGACATAGCCATGCAAGGGCCTGGGGCAGGACCACTACTGCTAAGGGAACAGCAAGGAGCCAAGCAGCAGGGAGGGGAAGAGAGAGGGAGAGGGGAAGGGAGGCAGTGGGGAGGAAGAGGAGGTGGGGAGGGAGGGTGGGGAGAGGACAGGCCAGGCTGCACAGGGCCCTCTGGGCTGTGTAGGGCTGTGGATTCTATTTTGAGACGGTCAGAGGCCGTGCAGAGGGGAAGGTCATCTTTCCCTGCCCTGTGGGGAGGTGGGCATGTGTCCGGGGTGGGCGGGCACTGGGCGTGGGTTCCCAGCGTGAGGCCAAGCCTCCAGGAGGAGAATCGACTGTGTCGTGCGTGTGTTTGAGGCCTGGAGGCTCCATAAGTACCCCTGATCCTCTCCCCCACAGGCCGGCCTGACCTTCTGCCCTGCCACGCCACCTTCTTTTGAAGAAGCCACTACAGCTTCCATTGCCACCACTCTGTCATCCACATCCTCTCATTCTGGGCGAGTCCCCTGGAACCAGACAACCTCGGTACAGGTGGGCGGAGGCATCCACTGTGCATGTGGACGGAGCATCCGCTGTACATGTGGCGGGACATCGCTGTGCACGTGGGCGGGCATCCGCTGTGCATGTGGGTGGGCATCCTAGGTACAAAGGTGAGGCATCTGCTGTGCATGTGGGCGAGGCATCCGCTGTGCATGTGGGCGGAGCATCCGCTGCGCATGTGGGTGGGGCATTCTATGTACAGAAGAGGGGGGCATCCGATGTGTAGGAGGGAGGGGCATCTGTACAGGTGGGCGGGGCTGCCAGGTAGGCAGGCGGATAGGCAGGGGCAAGAGTAGACTGAGCAGGCGGAGCCATCCTCTTTCTGGGTGTCACCTGTTTGCTCTGTCTCTACAGGCGGCGCACACAGTCCTCCGGACAGGATGGCAGGTGAGACCCCGCCCCCTTCCCTCCCTGGGTCTCACCAGCTCCTCCTGCATAGCTCCCAGCTCCCATTCCCGCTCCCATTCCCGCTCCCCAGCGCATTCCTGCCCCCAGTCCGTCTGCCTCTCCGCCCATTCTTTCCTGAGAACAGATTTAGGTTCCAGCACTCGGCCTTAGCACTGCACACAATCTTGAGCCACTTTGTTTTCTTGCCCTGGGACAGCTGTGGCCTGTTGGATCCTTCTTTTTCTTCTTCTATTAAGTTTTTTTGCTTAGGATACAGCGGGAACATCGTGAAATGCTCCCCTCCTGCCCAAGGCAGTCTCCTCCCCAGGAGCAACCACCAGGACTGAGGTTTTGTCTCTTAGCAGATACTTTCTGCAAGACACAGCAGACGTACACCAGACTTTTGTTTCTCTTTTATTTTTCCCACACCCAGTGACACCCTGCGTGCCGCCCACATCTTGCTGTTGTCACTTGACTGACGAGATCTGGGCGGGTGTGCACGTTCCTGTCACGCCTGCGTGCCGTCCTTCCATCCGTGGACTGCACCGCCCCCAATGCCCAGCCCTCGGGGACATTTGTGAGGTTCTCGGGGTCTCGCTCTTGTGAACACCGGGGCAGTGGCGAGGTGTTGCTTTCCTTAACTGTGTTTTAATCACTGCCGCCTGATGAAAGAAACCCCTTAGCGGAGTGCCATGGGTGGGATGTGGCCCTTCGCTTGGTCAAGCGTGCCATTTGGAGAGGCTACACAGCCAGGCCCAGCTGCTGGGACGCTGATTCACCTGTGTCAGGGCCTCAGCTGCCAGTGCAGAACACCCCAGGAGTAGAGCAGGCTCTGTGGCATGCAAGCTGAGTCGGTGCTGCCATTGGCTCATACGCCCCCAGAACCTGCTACACACAGGCCCGCACCATGCCACAGTCAGCAGGGACCCAGGTGGACAGTCCCCCAGCTGGGAGTGACCAGAAAGACCAAGGCCCAAGCAGGGGCTCCAACTCCCCTCTGGGACTGACCCTGGAGTTCACTGGGCACTCCTGGGGTAGGACGGGGGGAAGTGAGGAGGAAACTGAAGGACACAACCTCCCATTGCCTGCAGGCCGCAGGAGGAGCCGCCCGCAGAAGAGGACCTGCAGCAGATTACGGTGCAGGTGGAGCCTGCATGCAGTGTGGAGATCGTGGTCCCCAAGGAGGGCCTTGAGGTGAGCCTGGCCCAGGCGCGGGAGTCGGGCGCCCCCTGCGGGCAGGAAGGGCCAAGAGCATCCCGAGGTTTTGGTATTCGAAGCCGTTCTTTAACACTGGGTTGTATTCGCAGACGGTGGATTTTTTCCCATAAGGTTATTTTTTTGATTGAAGGAGTGGTTCTGTCACTGGCAGGGAGTGATCCTGGCCCCAGGAAACTGGGTGATGCCTGAGGGCATTGTGATGAGTGGTGGCCAGGGACGGCTGCTCAGCATTAGCCTGCAGTGCCCGGGATGGCCTCACCCCAGAGAAGGACCTGGTTCCAATATCCACAGGGGTCAGGCAAGAGATCCTGGGTTAAGGGCTGTGTAAGAACATCTCTGAACTTCCAGAGTGTTTTAACGAGTTTTTCTTTACCTTTTTAGTATTTATTTTATTTTATTTTTAATTTTAATTTATTTATTATTTTATTTTTATTTTTTTTGAGACAGAGTCTGCTCTGTCGCCCAGGCTGGAGTGCAGTGGCACGATCTCGGCTCACTGCAAGCGCTCTGCCTCCTGGGTTTACGCCACATTCCTCTGCCTCAGCTTCCCGAGTAGCTGGGACTACAGGCGCCCGCCACCTCGCCCAGCTAGTTTTTGTATTTTTAGTAGAGACGGGGTTTCACCATGTTAGCCAGGATGGTCTCGATCTCACAGCCTCATGATCCGCCCCGTCTCGGCCTCCCAAAGTGCTGGATTACAGGCAGGCGCATACCGCGCCCGGCCTATTTTATTTTTTGTGAGACAGAATATTGCTCTGTTGCCCAGGCTGGGAGGGCCCAGTGGCTATCTTGGCTCACTGCAGCCTCTACCTCCTGGGTTCAAGTGATCTTCCTGCCTCAGCCTCCCGAGTAGCTGGGGCTACAGGCGCCCGCCACACCACACCTGGCTATTTTTTTTTTTTTTTTTTTTTTTTTTTTTTTTGAGACAGAGTCTCGCTCTTGTCACCCAGGCTGGAGTGCAGTGGCGCGATCTCGGCTCACTGCAAGCTGCGCCTCCCGGGTTCCCGCCATTCTCCTGCCTCAGCCTCCTGAGTAGCTGGGACTACAGGCGCCACCACGCCCGGCTAGTTTTTTGTATTTTTAGTAGAGACGGGTTTCACCATGTTAGCCAGGATGGTCTCGATCTCTGACCTCGTGATCCACCCGCCTCGGCCTCCCAAAGTGCTGGGATTACAGGCTTGAGCCACCGCGCCCGGCCACACCTGGCTAATTTTTTACATTGTGTTTCCAGTAGAGACAGGGTTTCTCCCATCAGCCAGCTGGGCAGGCTGACTCAAACTCCTGACCTCAGCCAGGCGCGTGACTCACGCCTGTAATCCCAGCCTGTTTGGGAGGCTGAGGCACATGAATCACGAAGTCAGGAGATCGAGACCATCCTGGCTAACACAGTGAAACCCCGTCTCTACTGAAAAATAGCAAAAATTAATCGGGCATGGCCAAGATCGTGCCACTGCACTCCAGCCTGGGCAACAGAGCAAGACTCTGCCTCAAAAAGAAAAAACCAAGCCCCTGATCTGAAGTGATCTGCCCACCTTGGCCTCCCAGAATGCTGGGATTAATATTATTGAGTTTTGATTTGAAAAAAGAGTTTAAAGAAATATATATGTTTTTAAAAACATAGGACACAATGGTTGTGGCCCTTTTGGGAGGTATAGTGTCACCTGCTGTTTATTTTCTTGAGACAGAGTCTTTCTCTGTTGCTCAGGCTGGAGTGCAGCGCGGCGTGATTTGGCTTGCTGCAACCTCCACCTCCTGGGCTCAAGTGAATCTCCTGCCTCAGCCTCCTGAGTAGCTGGGATTACAGGCGCTCACCACCACACCCAGCTGATTTTTTTGTATTTTTAGTAGAGGTGGGGTTTCACCATATTGACCAGGCTGGTCTAAAATTCCCTGGCTTGATTGATTCTCCTGCCTCGACCTCACAATGCTGGGATGACAGGTGTGAGCCCGTGCTGGCCCCTGCGTGTCTTTACTTTTTCGTTTTTTTTTTTTTTTTTTTTTTTTGGGGTGGAGTCTTGGTCTTCGCCCAGTCTGGAGTGCAGTGGCACAATCTCTCGGTCTGCAAGCTCCGCCTCCCGAGGTTCAAGCCATTCTGTTGCCTCAGCCTGCGAGTAGCTGGGACTACAGGTGCCCGCCACCACGCCCAGCTAATTTTTTGTATTTTTGGTAGAGATAAGGTTTCACTGTGTTAGGCAGGATGGTCTCGATCTCCTGACCACTTGATCCACCCACCTAGGCCTCCCAAAGTGCTGGGATTACAGATGTGAGCCACCGCGCCTGGCTGATTTTTTTTTTTTTTTTTGAGACAGGGTTTTGCTCTGTCTCCCAGGCTGAAGCAATGGCGTGAACTCGCTCAAGCTGCAACCTCTGCCTCCTGGGTTCAAGTGATTCTCCTGCCTCAGCCTCCCACCAGGCCTGGCTGGGTTTTGTATTTTTAGTAGAGACGGGGTTTCATCGTGTTAGCCAGGATGGTCTCGATCTCCTGACCTCGTGATCTGCCTGCCTCGACCTCCCAAAGTACTTTGGGATTACAGGCTCACGCCCAGCCTGTCTTTACTTTTTGTCATCTGTCTGGTATGTAATCCCATGCGCTTGCATTATTGCAAATTCTTCTTGCCTTTCTAATGATTTTTGCTTGAGATGCTTTTTTTATTTTGTTCCAGCAAACTTTTCGCACTCACAGCAGCAGAACCGAAAAATAAAGCCCTGAGGTTTATCTTCACCAGTCACTCCTGCCACTATCAGCTCCTTGCCATTGCCAAACCTCGCACCATGAAATTTCAGGCTTTGCTAAAAGGAACTGAACCTCAATGTAGCAGGAGGCGTGTTTACCCTCATTCATGGATGAACACTGGGCACACCGTGTGGCAAAGCCCATAGCCAAGAGCCAAGGCCGTTTCCTCACCTCCCCTCTCTGTGCCTCAGATTTCCACCATTACAGCACAGCAGTAGCCGCACCTCTCCATCCCCCACGATGAACTCAGTGGGTTAATCACAGGGAGCTGGCCCTGACATGTAGTAAGTGCTCGGTGAAAAGGACAGAGAGGCTGGGCTCGAGGGGGCTCCCATCTGTGATCCCTCCTAAAGGAGGCTGAGGCAGGAGGGTTGCTTGACCCCACAAGTTGGAGACCAGCCTGGGCAACATAGTGGTCGCATCTCTGCAGATAAAAAAAAATAATAATTGGGCGTGGCAATGCACTATAGTCCCTCCAGCTACTTGGGAGGCCAAGGTTGGAGGATCAGCGAGCCGGGAGGTGGAGCTACAGTGAGCTGTGATTACACACACTGCATGCCAGCCTGGCTGATGGAGGCGAGCATGTCTCAAACCCGTCAATAAAGAAAGAAAGAAGCTCTGATCAGTGGCTAGGTACCATCTCTCCCCACTTTACAGATGAAACTAAAGTTCAGAGAGGAACCTTCGGCCCTCCCAGGGTGGCACAGCTGGTGAGGGGGTGAGGCCAGCACCTGCCCACAGGTGTGTGTGGTGTCTGAGCTGGGGGTAGCAGAGACCACACTGTCAGTGAGCTGGCTTGGAGTCACTCTAAGTCAGCATTTGGGGCTTCTTAGGGAAGTTTGTTCTGATTTGCGTTAAATGGCAGGCACAGGAGCGCGTGGCCTGTGGTCAGCTGCCTGGGTTTTCGGCGCAGGAGCGCGTGGCCTGTGGTCAGCTGCCTGGGTTTTCGTCTCAGTGATGACCCTGTGAAGCCCCTGCCTGGATCCTGAGTGGGGCGCGCAGGGAGCACTCTGTGTGGGGAGCTGGTCAAGACCCTCTGTCTATCCCTGTCCTCAGGGTGCAGGCTTCCATGGCCGGTCGCTGCTGCTGTTGAAGCAGAAACTGCCCAGCCAGGCCTCGGGCCGGAGCGCACCCGCCAGCCCGAGGCCTCGGACAGGGAGGACCGCTCGCCACTGGCATCTACTTTGTAAGTGCCCGGGCTCTTCTGCCACCGGCTGTCCAGCCAGATTCTCACACCGCTGCACTGTGTACTACCGTGTACACACAGCCACACACAGGCACGTGGAAGGTGTGCCCTGTGACCCACCCACGTGCTCTCTCCCCAGCCCCAGCCTCTCACTGCACGCCTACCCACACCTGGCCGATTTCACCTTCTCTTCCTGGTCTAACCCCGGGTGAAGCTCTCAGACCAGGCCTTTCTGGACTATCTCCCTGTTGCGTGGGGCGTGGCCAGGTGGGCTCATCTTTGGGGGACCGGGGACCAGGCAGCGGCAGAGGGCCTCACGCTCCCACCGCAGCTGTGGGCTGAGGACTCACCCAGCTGCTACTAGGCAGGGCTGGAGTCTGCCGGACCTGAGATCCTGCTCCCCCTTGCAGGAGTCTGGGTGAGGCAGCTGCCGGACAGCCAGCCGAGGCCTGGGGTATCCAGGTAGTGTCTCCACTCCCCAGTGGTCCCACTCCAGGTCAGGCCCCAGGTCACAGGGAGGGCTGGAGGCTGCAGCCCACTTCCCAGGTGGTTTGTTCTTCCCCTCCTGGGAAGGTGGGCTGGAAGCACGGAAACACCAGGCCTCAGGGGCCCGTTTTGCTTGGGCACCTACTGGCTGCTTCATAACTAACTCCCCTGCTCTGTCTCCAGTGGCGCCTCTGGAGTCCCATGCCCCACACCTGGCCCTGGAGAGAGAGGGAGGAGGGATGGGCAGCGTGCCTGTGCCCCCAGCCACCCCATGTCGTCACCCCTTTCCCCAGGACTGGTTCGTGCGTGTCCTGGTCTCTGGATGGTACGGGGCCTGGGAGGCCCGTCCTGTGTCTGTGTGCTGATGCCCACCTGGGTGGGCAGCGGGAGAAGGGAGAAGGGTCCTCGGTCCCACCCTGGCACCCCCCACATTCTGCTTGGCAGTCAGCTGTCCCCACCCGCTCCCTGCTGCCTCCCTCCACCTCTCCCACCCGACCACGGGGGTAGCCGCCTCATCAGCTATCTCTGTTTCCTAGCCCTCTCTGGCCCGCCCGGCCTAACG